TGCACATTATTTATATTAGCATGTCTTATAGATCTGGTATAACATTTTGTAACCTCCCTGTGTAAATTGTACACTAGATACCATGTTGCAATTATGATGTGGCAACACAGAGCTCACAGGGGTATATCCCACACAACACTTTGTTTCAAGATTGTGTTCCCATTCTCTGTACTATGGAGTCAGTACACAAAACCTTTAAAGGACCACTATAGGCACCCAGACCACTTCAGCTTAATGAAGTGGTCTGGGTGCCAGGTCCAGATAGGATTAACCCTTTTTTTTTTATAAACATAGCAGTTTCAGAGAAACTGCTATGTTTACACTGAGGGTTAATCCAGCCTCTAAAGCCTCTAGTGGCTGTCTCATTGACAACCGCTAGAGGCGCTTGCGTGCTTCTCACTGTGAAAATCACAGTGAGAAGACGCCAGCGTCCATAGGAAAGCATTATGAATGTTTTCCTATGAGACTGTCTGAATGCGTGCGCGGCTCCTGCCGCGCTTGCGCATTCAGCCGATGACGTCGCTAGGGAGAAGGAGAGGAGGAGGAAAGTATACTATAGTGGTCCTTTAACTTCAACTCTTCAATTCATGTAAACTCTGCCTCATTATATTATATTATATGATGTACAAACATATTCTTGGCCAAACTTGGGGAAGCCTATTGTAAAATGTTTATTTCTAATGTTTGATGGCTCATAGCGATAGTCTTTTTTAGAACAATGACATCAAAATACACATCACTACGAAGATAATTTCATGCTGAATGTAATGTAACAAATGTGTTGAATCAAAAGTTATAGCTAATTAACCAGAAAAAGGAAACACTACTGCCTTATCCAACATGAGTGGATTTCCTTAAAGAGACACTTCAGGCTGCTAAAGCAGTTCAGAACACGCTGATCAGCAACAACCAGGGCTGGGTTTCCCCTCTTTGCTGCCCCAAGTCCCGTTTCCTCAATGCACACCCTATATATAAATATATATATTATATTGTATATAATGTATATATACTCTATGTTATTAGATGCGTGAATGTGCCAGTAAGGAGTATTCAGTTGGATCCGTGAATGAGACTAAGAGGGCACATAAATAATAAGTGGGAGAGAGCTGAGAGAGAGAGTGTGCCTGTGATGTTGTTTCTTGTGGGAACGCTGGGCTTCTTGGGAGAGTGGCGTCTTGTGATGTTGCTTGTTTCTAGGGATGCTGCTTGTGGATTTCTGTGTGTGAAATGTGTGTGGGGCTCTGTCTCTCTCTTCCACCATGATGTTGGCCTGCTGTAATGCTTTCCAATTAAAGGAAGATAATTTGAGGAACACAACTGCAGAAATACAAAATTGGGAACGGTACCATTAAGGAATCTCAAAGAAAAGTAGAAAGCCCTTTGAAGAAATGTAATGGAATATTCAATTATTTCCATCTCTCAAAAAGTTAACAAAATCTGTAGTTCGTTTAAATGTCCAGCAATAGCAGATTAGCAGGATACACACCACGGTTATTTATAGGCAGAAAGCATTGCAGTAACAGTAGCCAGATAACAGCAACAATGTTATTGCAATCCAGTAGTTAGTGTAGCAGATTGTAGCGAAGTAGTAAGGAGCCAAGGTTATAAATAGAAGATGTAGATATGCCTATACTACTTCAGGTGTCTTCAGCGAAGTTTTGGATAATCCTTTTAACAGTCCAGTTCTTTGGGCAGGAGAAGACAGCAACGTAAGTAATCAAAGCAGGTTCGTGGGAAAAGAGAGGTCAGCAAAGTCAATGTTGGAGGTCCGGTTTGGTACACCAAATATAAATAAGGTAGAAGCTCAGTTTGGCAGTTCTCTAAACGAGGCAAAATACCTAAGCGATTTGCTTTTGGCGCGGCTTCCCTGTAAGGCGGGGACTTGCGTCATACAAGTGGGACGAGTCCAGAACGCCGAAACTCAGAAGTAAACTCAGATGGATCGAGGTTCGGTAAGATCTGATACCTGCACTGTAGTATTCAATTTAATTAGTCCATTGTATAGTGCATTTGTGTTCTATTTGTTTTCTGTTTCTGTCTTCTAGGGTAATTAATATGTTGGTAAAAGAGAGGACAAGTAGCTGGAGGGAAAGGGCAGGTAGCCATAAAGAGTTAATATGTATGTGAGAGAAGGGGGGTTAAATATAGGTAGAAGAGGGCAAGTAGCTGGGGGGGAGGGGGAGGTTTGAAGGACGAGGCAATTGCCCAGGATCTGAACGAAAACAAAACCTAGAATTTAAGCTACATGTGTGTTTAACCGTAATTAACATCTTTCATATTACGTGCACACACACTTATTATTTATCATTTTATTCCAGAGAAATATGGCTTGCAAGTCACATCAAATATGTTTATATGGAACCCAATTTAAAATGAATATGCAACTAAGTGCCATTAAACATATCTTTGTATGCGCAGTGTTTCAAGCAAAAAACATGCACATACATACTCATACCACCATGACCACTTCAAATCACTGAAGTTGTCAAGGTGTTTGGAGTAACCCTTTAATTGTTTTGTCTTTCCTTTTAAAAAATGCTCCAAGAAATTATACATGGTGATATGGGAAAATGGTTAAAATGTTTTCCTTTCATACTTCAGCAGTTTGCAGAGAGCCCACAAGGTGTCAATATCATTCTGCTAAATTCATAACACTTCACAGCATACATTTAATTTCCTCTATTATTAACTCCTTAACCCCTTAAGGACACATGACATGTGTGACATGTCATGATTCTCTTTTATTCCAGAAGTTTTGGTCCTTAAGGGGTTTGTGTACATGTTCCCAAGGACAGGGAGGTTACAATATAGAAGGGTATAGCAACAATAATTGAGGAAGACAATCTTTAGTGTACAATCACAACATCAAACTTTTTTCTGGCGTCGCCATACCTTTGCGGATTTTCTAGGTTCCATTACGTTGTTCTGTACTGTTATAATTTCGTTTACACCTCTTGTCTTAACTATATACATAATATCTAAGCATAATCCTGCTTTAACTATATACATAATAGGTTCATTTCTTCCCATATTGCTCTCTCGCTCCGTGTTCATGTGTGTCTCACCGGGACGATCACTGTGTATGTATTGTTGACCTACGCTAACCATTGTCTCCTGTTTGCACCCACCCCTCTTCCTGAAGCGGCTTGTCTAAATGGTTCTTGTCCTCTCTCGTGTCGTTCCTCTCTTGTACTTCTTCCCACCTGTCTCTAGCTCTTACTATGTAAGGGGACGTCCCGAATTGTGTGGTGAGCTTCGTTTCATACATCAGGTTAGTAGATATTTGGTTTAGTAGATCATCTTTTGCGGGTCTTACGGTTTGTTTCCAGGCCCTTGCTATCAGTGTGTTTGCTGCTATTACTATATGAAACATTAGTATCGCTTGTAGTGTGCTATATGACCCTAATGTCATGAATAGCAATCCGCATTCTGGTTGTAGTGGTAGTTCAGTATTTAGTGTTTTCTTAATGATCACCTCTACCTCTTCCCAGTATGGTTTTATCTGGTTGCATATCCACAATATGTGGTACATTGTGCCCTCCTCTAGTCTGCATCTCCAGCACAGTTTTGATGTTTGGGGATAAATGTTAGCTAATCTAACCAGCACCATGTACCACCTGTATTGCAGTTTCCTCATGAGCTCCAGATGCGATGTGCATCTGGATCTCTCTTTGTGGGCAGTGAAGGCTTTTTGCCATTGGGTTTCAGTGAAGTGTTTGTGTAGGTCGCTATGCCAGTGCTCCTTGAATTTTTCCGCTATAGGTGTCTTGGGGTTGTCATTTAGTGTTGCGTAGAGAGTGGATATTAATTTTTTCGGTATGTTCCCTGTTTCACATATTTTGTGAGTGTGTTCCAGGGGTGTTGGGGTAGTGACTTTATTTGTAGGTATGAGAATAGTGTACTACTAAGCAATTGGTATTTTTGTTGAAAAGTTGAATATTGCTCTAGCTTGCCCTCGTGATATAGATGTTTGATTAATGTGCATCCCTTCTGTATCCATGGACGGTGGTCTAGGGTGGGGTTTGCGATGTGTAGGCTGTGTAGTGGGGTTGACATTGCCCAATTTTTGCTCTGGCCCAATAGTTGTGTCGTTGAGTCCCATGTCTCTAAAAGGATTGAAGTGGTTGGGAGCATTTTGCTGGGCTTGGGCTTCAGTTTATGAGGTACCCAGAACATGTATTTTATATTTCCCGGGCATACCCTTGCGGCCTCCATCTCTGCCCATTGAGGCTTGTCCCCTCCTGCGTGTAAAAGGAGACCTGTAGACATGAGTGCGGCCTTGTAATATAAGCGCACATCTGGAATAACCAATCCCCATTTGTTTATGGGTTTGCTCAGTATTGCCAAAGCTACTCAGATCTTTTTGTGTGCCCATACGAAGTTTGTGAATGCGCGTTGTAATTTGTTCAAGTATGTGTTTGGAAGGAAGATTTGCAGTGTTCTTATTAGGTATTGGAATTTAGGTAGTATTATCATTTTTAAGGCTGTCAGTCTTCCCACCCATGACAGGTATTTCTTGCTTTGGTAGTTTTAATCCCAGGAATGTGAGGTAATCTTCCCTCCAGTCGAAGTGAAATGTTTCTCGTAGAATGTTTATCGTGGCATGTGTCATCCCTATCCCCATGGCTTGTGTTTTTGTAACATTCAGTTTATAGTACGACTGGTCTCCGTACTCCTTGATTTCCGCAAGGAGGTTTGGCAATGAGATTTGTGGTTGTGTGATGTCATCTGCAAACAATCCCACTTTGTATTCTTGTTTACCCAGCTTTATTCCATGTATGTTTGTGTTGTCCCTCAGGCGGGTAGCTAGCGGTTCTAGGGCTAGGATGTATAATATTGGCGACAGGGGGCAGCCCTGCCTTGTTCCGTTCGAGAGCCTAAACGGTTCCGATAGGAACCCTGAGTTTAACACTTGTGCTTCGGGCAAGCTGTATAGTGCCTCCGCCACAGCGCCAAATTGTTTGGATATTCCAAACCGTGATAGCACTGCTTTCAGAAAACCCCAGTGTAGTCTATCAAAGGCTTTTTCAGCCTTTGATAGACTACATGACAGAAATACACCCCCCATCTCTGGTGTCTGAAGTTTGTGTAGCAGGTTTATGACTTTCCTTGTGTTGTCTGCCCCCTGCCTCCCCCTCACAAAGCCCACCTGGTCGTTGTGTATTATGTGTGGTATGATGTGTCCCAGTCTTTTAGCGTATAGTTTGGCGAACAATTTTGCGTCTGTGTTTAACAGCGATATGGGTCTAAAGTTTTGTGGAATTGTTGGGGGCTTGTTGGGCTTTAGTAGGGTGACTATGTGGGCCAATAGCATCTCCTTTGGTAGGGATTTTGCTGTGATTGCATGGTTAAAGGCTGTTGCCAAATAAGATGCCAGGGTTTGACTGAACTTCTTGTAGTATAGATTTGTTAAGCCATCCGGGCCTGGTGATTTGCCCGTTGGTAGGGTGTGGATGACTTTAATGATCTCCTGTGGTTCTATTTGTCTAGTTAGGTCTGTTTGCTGTTGTGGTGTAAGTGTAGGTAACTGTATTTTGTCTAGGTAGGTCTCTATGCTTCTGTCAGTGGGTTGAATTGTGTTTTTGTCCTCCTTCAGATTATAGAGGTTATGATAGTATTTGGCGAATTCTTCACTAATTTCTCTGGGTGTAGTGCATTTTTGGCCCTTGTTGTCTAATATGTAAGCGATTTTGATTGGTCTGTTTCTGTTTAAGTTGGTTTGCCAGGAGCTTACTCGCTTTGTTTCCCTGCATATAGTGGGATATTTTAAGTTTGGTCGTTAGCTTATGTTTATTCTAGTGCTTGTTGGTGTATTAACCTAGTGATGTGCAGGATATGGCGTTTCTTGTTGTCTGTCGGTTGTATCTGGTTTTGTGTGTTCGGATCATATAATTCCCGTTGCCATATTTTTAGTTTGTTATGTGCGAGTTTTTTTATGTATGCTGCCTGATTAGCAGGCCCCTTACCACTGTTTTGTGTGCCTGCCAAACTGTTGCTGGAGTCCATTATCGTTCAGTGTAAAATAGGATTGGAGGTCCTCTCTGAGTTCCTCTGTATATTCTTTGTTTTGTAGTAGTGTATAGTTTTTAAAATCATACATGTTTTTCATGTCAAGAATCACTGGTGCATGGTCTGACCATGTGATTTGTTTTATGTCGCAATGTTGGAGTTGGTTTAAGTGTGGTCCCAAGAAGAGGAAACTATCTATCCTGGAAAGGAGTTGTGGACGTTGGAAAAATGAGTAAATGCTTTCTCCCCCAGGTGTGTGATTCGCCATGCATCATAGAAGTGATGCTCATTTATAAGTTTCTGTAGGGCCTTGCATTGTCGTTTCAGTGGGCGCTGTCTGTGGCTATACTGTGATAGCGTGGTATCGAATTTGGGGTCCTATATGTGATTAAAATCTCATGGTACCTATTTTATCGGGGACCGTCACTCCTCCCAGCATCAGCAAGCCAAGTGCTGGTTCCCCTTTGGTGCCCAAGGTGTGGGGGGTTTGTAGTATCAGTATGGTGAGGTTGTTTAGCAGGGTCTGTGAAGGCCTATGCGGTACATGTGAGAGAGACGTCACTGGGGGGTTGCTCGCGGTTCCCCTCACAGTTCGTGTAATGCGATTATCATAAGCATAACAAGTGAACATAAGGTTAAACATAAACATAACAACGAAAGTATATACAATCATTAGTACTGCCCTAGGTATGGCTGGGCACTGCATTTTCGTGCTTTGGGGGTTGAAGCTAAGCTTCTCGACCTGGTGGTTCCCTGCTCCTATGGCTACTCCTAGGCTGTTTTCGTATGTGTTGCCCTGTGTGAGTCTAATGGCTGACATTGCGGTTATTTCCCTTATTTAGTTAGGTATGTTGAATGTTAGGGTGAGGTTGATATTCATGTTGCCAGAGGGTTGGGTGTATCATCTATGTGTAGATATTGTAGTGGCTGTGTAATCTTCCTTCCTTCCCCTCTAAATGCCCATTCTTTTTTTTGCCTGCATGTTTTGAAGGCTCCGGTCCAACATCCTCTCCTTAGGCCCCTTCCTTTGCCTTTACTGAGTTTAATACCTGGACATTTATCATTCACTATATATGCATCAGGTAATAACATTGTGGTGTTAGTTACGTTACCCGTCCCTGGTTCATCCCGGTTTAGTCTCTGTAAGAGAGTTCACCCTTATTTGTAGGTGGGAAGGTATCGGACAGTTCATTTTTTCTTGTTTTTTCTCCAGTCCGGGGCCAATCTGCTGGTGCCCGTCTCTCTAGCTGTCTGGTCAGGCGTATCGATTCCCCATGCTTTGAGGATTTTTTGTCCTTCCTCCGGTGTCTGTATGACTGTGGTTCTTCCTTTTTTGTTTCGTTGGATATCCCCAGCGATATGGAAGATGGTGTTCTCTTAGTTTTTGGGTTATGTCTCTGAAGTCTCAGCGGCGTTTCAGTGTGAATGCTATGTCAGCGTATATTGCTATTTTTCTGTATGTGTCCGGCAAGCTTGTGTGTTCTGTTGGCATTCAGGACAGCTTCTTTAGCGTGAAAGTAGTGCATTCGTAGTAGAACATCCCTTGGTGTTTCTTGGGGTAAAAAGCTTGGCTTTGCTGTGCGGTGTATTCTGTCAATTAATAGCATCGCTTGAGGAAAGTCTGGCAGTAGGCATTTCATGAGGCCAGTAACGTGGGCCATGAGGTCAGGTGTGCCCACCGTCTCTGCTATGCCTCTTATACGCAAATTATTTCTGCGGGCACGGTCCTCCATGTCCGCAAGCTTCATGTCCTGTGTGTCGAGTCTGGCTATGATGGTATCCACCTTATTCGCCAAGGCTTTGTGCGATGCATCATATTCTGCCATTTTGTTCTCTACTTGTGAGGTCCGTGTCCCCAGCTCATGTAGATCCTGCCTGAGGTCTTTCATTGCTGAGTCTAGCTTTTGCAGAATTTTTGTGGACATTTCGTCCAATAGTGCTTTCAGAGAAGTGTGTGTTAGCACGGGTTCATTCTCTGCAGGCTGTTCTATGTGGTCTGCGATGTCGTCGGCGTCATCTTGGACCTGCTCGTGCGGTTGCTGGATTTTGTTTTGTCCGGCTCTGGAGGCGAAAATTTTTTTTTTTCTGCCTTCTCTGTAGCCCTCTTCCCTTTAGGTTGCGACATTCCGTGGGTTTGGGTTTGTTTTTCGGGCTTAATTGCTCATTTGATGCCGTTTAGGAGCGGAGCTTCTAACACATGCGGCCTCTCTGGTGCTCAGTCAGGCCATGCCCCTGCATTTAAAAAAAAATAATTTTTTATTCTTTATTTTGGCAGGTGAAGTATGACAAAACAGCCATTTCATTGTTTCACAATTGGTAAGCACATTCACTATTTGCATACAATGGTGTCTAACGTGTTCACCTATTTTTAATTTTTTTTAAAGAGTAGCTATTAGTATGTTAGTGATGCCCTGGGGTATGGGGGTAGGTAGGCGAAGTGTTTGCCACTTTCGGCTAGGAGGTGAGCCTATGTGTCTGTGGTGGTAGTGTAGCGCCGGGTGATGCAGAAGCCTCTAACCCATTAGGCAAAAATGGTGGGGGTGAGGGGGGGAATTGTGAGCTTGTTGCACCCTATGCCAGTATGAGTATAGATATGTATCTTGAAGGGGTGGGTTTTTGTTGCTATAGCAGCACTTAGTTGTCCACTATGTGGATATCATTGGTAAGTATGTATGGTTGTTCATATACAAATTACAAAACTCAAAACGTAGAAGTGTAAGAATAATAAGAATAAACTTAAACATAAACAGTTATTTTCATTCTGGGTATTAGAGTTTAGGTCAGAGAGTCCCGTCCTCTTCCTGGTACAAAGGGAGTGATTGCTGAAATGTTCCATTGATGGTTGGAGCTTGTTGATGGGGCTGCCGAAACTAGGCCCAGGGACTGGAGAAATGCCGGACCCGCTGTGGGGCTTGTTGCTCGCAGGGTCTTCCCGTCATTAATGACAGTGAGGGATCTTGAGTAAGTCCAGCGGTAGGCGAGTCCCGCAGTTTGTAGAGCTTCGGTGATGGGTTTCATCGATTTCCTCCACATTAAGGTAGGCCTGCTGAGGTCTTGAAAGAAGGTTTTCAAATTGGAGTGGGGTTTTCCCTTTTAGTGCCGTGAGAAGTTTCTGTTTATCTGCGACCATTTGGCAGCACAGGATCAAGTCTCTAGGAGCCGTGGTGGGCGCCTGTGCAGATTCCGTAATACGATATGCTCCGTCAAAGGCGAATTGTTTGGCTGCTTTCGCAGACAGAATGGTTGCGGCTAAACGCTGTATGAAGTAGGGAATTTTGTCTGGTGGAAGCGAGTCTGCTACCCCTCTGTACCAAGTGTAATAAGCATTTTATGACATCACTGTTTATTCTATTATATTAATTTGAGCCATTCTAAGTCTGGGTGCCAACTCCCACTAACCCTTTTTATAAACTGCAATAATTACCTTGCAGGGTTAACTCCGCGCACATGCGCATTAGGTCTCCCTGGCTGGTGGGCAGGATCAGTCTCACCCACTGGCCGACATAATTAAGACCCGAAACCACCGCCACCCCTTTAAGAGACCTGGCTGGATTTGAACTCACAGCTCCAGCATCCCAGTCAGGTTCTGTACCATGCTGTCCACCAGGGGACTTCAGTATCTGACTGCATCATTTTGCTTCCCGACTCCTTGTCTGGATTGAGCAGTGCTGATCCACCTGCAGCCCCTTACTAATTAGGGTCAGCTGTTCCTAATCAGCAGGCTGTAAAAGCCAGCTCTGCCTGAGGCCTAGTATCTGGTCATTTTGTTTGTTTGTTTTTTTCGTGCCGGATCTTTGCTACTCTGCTGACTGATTTCCTAGACTCTGACCGCTGCCTGCTTTGCTGACTATGTTTCTCTGCTGCCAGCCCTGATTTCTGCCTCCCATCTGACACTGCCTTTGGATTTCCCCTTAATCTGTACTGCGCTTTTGGTTTTTGCCTCCTTCCTGTGCTATCTTCTGCAACTGGGCTCCAACTCCTGGTAAACTGTTACACCCATTTTATTTATTCCTTAGTGTAAGTATATCTAGATGATATACTGATATACTCACCTGAGAGAGACCTTCACCATGCACAAGTTAAACTAGTTCTACAGACCTTACTCAAGAATAGTCTGTATTGTAAACTAGAAACATTTCTATTTGATCAGAAAGAGGTACAATTTCTTGGTTATACGATATCTGACTCAGGAGTCAAGATGGATCTCAAGAAACTAGAGGTGGTGTTGCAATGGCCTCTACCTCATAGTTTAAAGACTATCCAAAGGTTTATCGGGTTTTCCAATTATTATCTTAGGTTTATTAAAAACATTTCTACGATAATAGCCAATTTAACACGTAAGACAGTTAAAGGTACATTATGGCCAAGAGAAGCCATTAGTGCCTTTGAACAACTCAAGGCTTCATTTGCTTCAGCACCTATACTTGCCCATTCTGATTCCAGCAGATCTTTCATATTAGAAGTAGATGACTCTGAAACAGAGGTTGGTTCTATACTGTCCCAGAGAGAAAGTCATGACAAACCCCTGCACCCATGTGGCTTCTTTTCTAAAAAGCTATCCCCAGCGGAAAGAAATTATGACATAGGTAACAGAGAGCTATTGGCTATCATATTGGTACTTAAAGAGTGGAGACATCTAGTGGAAGGATCCAAAGACCTCCTGATCATCATAACCGACCATAAAAACCTGGAATATATCAGGGAGGTTAAAAGAAAGTCATCCAGACAGGCTAGATGGTCTCTGCTTCTTTCTCGTTTCAATTATATCATAACTTATAGGCCTGGTACTAGGAACATAAAGGCTGATGCATTATTTAGACAGTTTGAGATGGAGGAAGAACCAGAGCAAGAGAACACTCCAATTATTCCACCAGAATATATTTTGGCTTCCACTGTCCTTTCTTTGTCCGCGCCTCTTCTTGGTGTCATAATCACTGCTCAACCTCAGGCACCTAGTAATAAACCTTCAGGTCTCCTGTTCATTCCTGAAACTGAAAGAAGGAAGATTCTTGCTATGTTTCATAATAACTTTACAGTTGGGCACCCAGGTACACACAAAACCATTTCAGCGGTAACCAGAAAGTTCTGGTGGCCTTCTCTTAAGGTTGATGTTATCACTTATGTCAATACTTGCCAGACTTGTGCTGACTTGTGCTGCAGTTGTTCAATGCCCTGTCGTGGTTTCCATTCTGTTGGTTATCTGAGAGCGCGTTTCTGATTCTGTTTATTGGTTTTTGATCTTGGCTTGGCTTGACTTCAAGTATTTCTGGTATCCCTGACCCTTTGGCTTTGTTCCTTTCTGTATTTCTGACCTCGGCTCATGACTGTTTATTTTATTATTTTAATTACGGCCATTCTAAGGCCAGTAATACGTTGTTACTGTTTGTCTTTGTTACGTGTTTTACTTAAAGGACCAATATACGCACAATAAAGTGGTCTGGGTGCCAGGTCCATCTAGGCTTAACACTGCAGCTGTAAACATAGCAGTTTCAGAGAAACTGCTATGTTTACATTAGGGTTAATCCAACCTCTAGTGGCTGTCTCATTGACAGGCGCTTCTCACTGTGATTTTCACAGTGAGAAGACGCTGCCATCCATGGGAAAGCAATGAGAAATGCTTTCCTATGGACTGATAGAATGCGCGCGCGGCTCTTGCCACGCATGCGCATTCAGCGGATGACGTCGGAAGTGGGAGGAGAGTCCCCAGCGCCAAGGGAGCCCGGCGCTGGAGAAATGTAAGTGATCAACCCCTTAACCCCTCTTGACCCCGGCGAGAGGGGGATCCTATGACACTATAGTGCCAGGAAAACAAGTTTGGTCCATTAATTCTGCGTGTTGGGCCACTGTTTCGTCCTGACAGTGTCTATGCCCCATTTTGGAGTATTTTAGCAGGCTATATATTCCAACTACCCCATAAAGGCATACCATTTCTTAAAGAAAACATCCCAGTGTATTTCAAAAGGCATATTTTAAACCTTAGTGTGGGATCACAGCTTGTACCATGTATAATAAGCATTTTTTTCTGCCTTTTTGACACACAAAGTGAGTTTGCACAGTATATTTTGCAAGGGGGGCGGGGCCGGGCAGCCATGCTTGCAGGCTGCAAGTCACCACGGCTCCTGAGGAATTCAGCTAATTTTGGGCAAATACCCACTTAATTCAGCCTGAAACACACTGGAAACTCGTGGAACAAGAGCTCGGAGTGTCCTGGTGCAGCTAGAGCACCTGAAATCGG